AAGAAAGAAAGAAAGAAAGAAAGAAAGAAAGAAAGAATGAATGTGTATTAAAGAATGAAAAAGAAAGAAAGGATAGTGAAAATGATGTAGAGGAAAGAAGAAAGGGGAAAAAAGAAAGATAGAAAAGAAACCAAAAAGAGAAACAGGAACACACTTAGGGTTAAGACTTCTATAAAAATGGTAAAATAAATGATACGAAAATGATACTTACAATATTCGCGATAGTTTGGATGGTGTTGGTGATACTTCTTTCAATTTCCTGACATCTGTCTCTCAAGTAGAAAGCTTTCATTTTCAACGCACTTCGTCCTACGATCAACATTGTTTTTCCAAATTTGGCGTAAATATTGGAGTCGTCGAGTAAGATCTTTTCACTGGTGGGCTAAAAATGAGTAGCAAAAATGAAATCAGATATGGTGGTAGAGATTTGCGAAGAAAATTATATGTTTAGGGAGAAACCCCTAAATTGTTATTCCATGTGGGCGGGAAAACCCCCGGTGGAGGTGATAACAATAAAATCCCCAACAACAAAAGCTGAGCGAAAACTACGAGTTATGAAATCAGTCTATTATAAACAAATAATTATTTTAGCAGTTAATGAAAAGGTCAATTGATCGGGAATTTTGGAAAGGACCGTAAAAAAGATTGGGTGGGGAAATCTGCTCGTTTTTGGTCATTCTAAATTCTAAATCTTTTCGATTTTACAAAATTTATAGCTATCGTTAGAGATTTGTAAAGACAGCCCTCGTTTCCTTATTTCAGCTTATTTTAGTAGTTTGAAAGTGAAAGATCAAATGCGGCTTACCCTTTCTTGACCAGACTCTGTAAGACCAAACTGAAGACGTTCAATAACATCTCTCTTTACTCTTTGTTCAAGAATCTGAAACTTTTATTGAATAAAGACAAATAAATAAATTAGGTTAAAATTATCTCGAAGAAGGCTAGCCGTTCGAATCGGAGCCAAGGAGCTATCGCGATTAACCTTTTTGTGATAAATAAATTGTATGACAAAAAAATGTGTACATACCAGATCCTTTCTAGACACCTCAGCTTGAATCGCAATTGTTCTCCACTGCTTTTTTAAGGAATTTCTGTCCTTTTCATTTAGTTTTAGGTGTTCTAACCCCAACATGTTTGTACCTTGCTTCAATGCTTGTCAAACTAGAACTAATAGCAGTATCGCGAAGCTCGGTTATATGAACTCTTTCCAAGGGGATTCCAATAAATCTATTTTCGTCTATAGCGTAATCATTATGGAATTACATTTTGCTTGATGGTTCATTACAGCCCTATACATCCGCTAACTGGATTTTCTTGGAAACTTGAAAGGGCGTCAACTTATCCGCTCAGCTTCCGGAAAAAAAACCCTAACTCGTGATTTCAAAACAAAATAAGCCTTCCCTTTCGCTTCTTTAATTTCGTATTTTTAAAACTATTTTGAATAAATCAAATGTTAAACATTTTTATAAGGTTTGACCGATGGTTAGATCTTTTAAAGTGAGTTGGATTTTATTTCTTATGCAGGATATTCACTTCCGGAGTATAGTGATACCTGCTTCCTGTTGTGCTTGCGTGACGCCCACATCACATGAAAGAGGAGGGCTAAAAAATCTTAAATTTACTAAAAATATATATACTTGACGTCCACGTGCATTTTGTTGGTGTATTACAATTATTGCGTGACATTTCTAGAGCACTAAGTATTTTAACAGTTAGTTTAGGAAATCGCACGATCTCGAGTACAATTCGGAATTTATAGGTACTAGTGATGTTTTGAAAATTTTCAAAATTGGATCAATTTGGGAACTTTCAAAACATCACGAGTATCTATAAATTCTGAATTGTACGAGAACATTGTGCGATTTTTTTTTATAGTACACTCAAAAAAAAAAAAAAAGAGCAACTTAATAGGGACTCTACCGAGTACAATTTGGAATTTAATTGTACTCCTCTTGTACATGTCCAATCCCTTTGTAGAGTGTATTATAACATGAGTTATTTTCATCTTGGCTGCTGTTAGATTGTCAGATTGTCAGCAGCTAAATTTTTTTAAATGTTATAAAATCGTTAATAGCTTCTGGAAAAAAACTATTGCGATAAATTCAATTTTAGAATCAACTCAAGAAAAATATGATTCAACTCAAGTCACTTATTGTAATTTGTGAAGAACTAAGGCATTCTGATTAAGTGTCTCGTGACTTCAATTAGGAAAACCAAAACCTGGGATTCTTAAGTACTTGGAATCAACACGTGTTTATCAAGTCTTCCGCGTCATCTGAAACTACTCTAGCGTACCGTGACAATAACAGTCATAAAATACAAGATTACAGTCAATTTGTTATTGACCCCCGAAGTGACCTCTAGATCATTCGGCTATCTCACAGATCGATCCCCGAAACAACCTCTGGGTTGATCAAAAATCGGGGAACGGCTAACTCCTATGAGCGTGTTGGGTTTTTTTCCGGAGGGAGGAAAACACTACAAAACGCGAAGAAAAAACCCTCGAATCAAGGGAGAATCTAGCTTGCCGTGCAGACGTTTTTAGTGTCAGCTCGTTCCTTCCCCTCCCCACAAACCGAAAGTAAGCCAAGGTGAAGGACAGCTTCCAGCATTTCGAGAGGCGCGCTCTGATTGGTCAATCAAAGGGAAAGGTTGAGCAGACGTTTGAGGGGAGGAGAATTAAGGAACGAGCCAACACTAAAAACGTCTGCACGACAGGCTAGGGAGAGTCTTGCAAGTGATGTCAAAATTTGCCGGTGAGAAAACTACCGCAGGGAACATACATTTAACATCTTTGCCGGGGGAAAAGACAGGGAAAAACCCAGTAATCCGGCTCTTAGGGTTTCCAAGTTTCTACATAACATTGATTGCGTTGCATAGCTAGATGATGAAAGTTCCAAACTTGGATGACCTTTGTTATTTCGATTTTTTTGGATTGTTCAGTTTGAAAATAAGTAAATGAATAAATGAATAAATAAATAAATAGATAATTAATTAATTAAACAATAAATAAATAAATAAATAAACAAACAAACAACCCCCCAAAAGAGTATATTTATAAAAACGACAATAGTTTTAAAGTATTGGTGGAAAAAGAAGGGGGAGGGGGGAGAGGGTATGGATGATCGAGACGGCTTTTTTACTTTTCTTTAACGGAAGGGGAAGGGGGATAATGGTAAGAGAGGGGATAAACGAGAAAATTTAAAAAAAAAGGCATTTTTAATTTGTAACATTTTAAGGCTCTTCTATATATGACTCATCACTGAATTATTTCAGGATCCCCTATTTTGCATAGCCAATAAAATTTTAAGGCCCCCTTTTTTCACTCAAACCCCTCTTCATAAAATAAAAGGTCTCTTTGCGTAGTAAAAATAGAAAATAGACGAATATTCGGTTAATCTTACAGTGAGGACACTAACCATGAACACTTTGTGCACATGCATCCCTTAACTGAATCATTTAGAAATAAGTTGTCTTTTGGGTTTGAAGTAAAAAGCTCAGAAATAAGAATCTGAATAAAGTCAAGCGTTCATGGTTCGAGTGTCTTGATCAATGTAACTCATGCAGAAAATGGCGTAATCTCGAAGCAGGATATTACAAACGTCACGTATGCATTCCAAAAAGGAAACCAATTCAGTGTCTTGTAATACAACATTTCGCAATTTGAAAACAAACGTCCCGGAAGACTTTTTTTAAATGACGAAAATAAATTAAAAAAAAGCAACACATCTTTCATTTCTGTTTTTACAATTGACCCAAAATAATCTTTCAGAAGGAAATATCAAGCACGTTTTTTAAAATCACATGTGGGCTATTGGGCTGTAAGTCAGGATGGAACAGGAACATTTTGGTCTCGAAGAATGAGAATCAGTAGCGTAATCTAGCCTAAAAGTAGCTAGTGAAAGTGAAGGAATATATAAGATTACAAAACAAATGACAAACAATAGGCACGATCTAAGAGCATAATAATAGATCTCTGTACTTTACAAACAAGAGTTTTTTTCGCTCCTGTGATCTGACAAAATTCTTAAGTAAATATAACAGCTTCCAAGATTTGACCCCAAGATTGTGGTCACGTGTAAGTGGTCTTCTCATTATTAAGGAGCTGTTAGTATGCGCATGCTTCTATAGTTTTATATGAAAACTGAAAAACCTTATTGGATTAATGCATAGAATTGACAAAGTAACTGATTAGATTAAAGTGTATAGGAATAAGAATGTACCTGAAATATATTGGATGAACGTATAGGAATAAGAATGCACCTGAAATAGATTGGATGAACGTATAGGAATAAGAATGTACCTGAAA